TTAACCTCTTGTAAATTCGTAGGTAAAATTTGGTAGGCATACACAATTGTTATATAATTTATAATTATCGTGAACACATATAACAATTTCAATTCTCTTATCAGATGATTAATAACTCGAGTAATATTATCAAGGCTGTTTCCTACTTTCTAGGCGTCGCGTCGCGTCGAATGGTCGATTATAAAGTACTCATAACACAAGCGATTATACCGTGACGACAATGAACTGTGTATCGATAGGTTATCGCTACTCGAGTTAAGGTGGTCTTGACAATATTTTAATCTATAATATTATGTTATGGACTTTTATTATACGGGCGTATTGAACAAAACAAAATTATGTAGAAGTACTAAAGTTAAAATCATATCTCGACCTCTTTAATAATGTATGTAGTATACTGGGATACGTATATTTTTATACGTATCCCACAATATACTGGGATATTTCTATGCCCTTTAAAGATTGATGTAGGGCATGTCTTGTATATCAACGATAAGCACCGTGCTTATATTCATTTGGTCCAGTCGTAGCGGGAATCTTCATTTGTCGTAATAAGAGTTTTTGCTTTCTAACGGGGTTTCAACTAATTCTGACTTTATTTGCATTAACAGTCTTTGTAATTCTTACAGCACGCGGTCACCCTGATCTTTTCTGGTCTTCGACAGAGGAAGTGTTGTTATTTTTGTTGATAGTACAATATACGAACATACGGCTAATACTAGGCTTTTGAAGTGTCTGGAATATGACCGACTGCTTCATACCCACTTTGTGCAAGACGATCACTGCAATACTATTTTTTTTAACACCCCATTCTATATTGTAATTAAATATTGAACTCAAAAAAAATATGTGATATGGCGCGAAATCAAAAGAAGTTTTTAAAATAATAAACGTGCTCCAAATTCAAAATAATTAAAAAGTTGAAAATAAGAAAAGTGTTTTATGTAACAGTATTTATGGCCAGACTAGTTATATAATATCCATATATTATTTATAAGTAACACACACACACACAGAAAACCAATTTATAGGTTGTAACTTGTGATCAAAAATCAAATATTATAATTATTTTAAGAAAATAAATATCAGTATTACATAAAATTTATCAAAATAAAAACATAGAACCCTCCATGTGCGAGACTGACTTACAGTTGACTGGTTTTATTTATAATTTCTGGGAAAGGTAAACAAGGCACCAGCCCACCTGGCAGACAGTGGCAACCGTCATCAACAGACACGAATGTTACTTTGTTGAAAATTTATCGACTTACTAAATTTACTTACATATTATAAAAACATTTACTTTAAAATATAAGCACGAGTAGGTAGAGGTCAAACTTTCAAGTAGCTTTGGAACTAGTTCCCATTATTCACTTTAATATACTACATAGTAGCTGTAACTCGCGGTTATACTCAACCAATGAAGTACAAATAGATTTTTCTTTGTTAAAGATAATTAAAGAAATTATATTACTTAAATTTTGTCAATATTACTATGTGTACCGATAATCGCTCAAGTATTTTCAAAAACTGACAATTCGACTGTGTACTTTATTGATTTAAAACAATATTTTAAGTAATAAAAGTTATCAACGAGTAACTGAGGTTGTATTTTATTTAAGAAAAAATTGATACATTCTACTTCTTACTACTTCTATATTCTCAACAATGCTAAGGATATTTTACCACTAGATATAGCCCTTTTCTTTGATATACTCGTTAGTTGGTCTCCTAAATTGATCGAGAATCGAACCGAGATTTGACTAAATGCAACGTACTATGTAACGTAATTATTTTCTTTTTCTATTACCCTACGTTAAAGAGAACCATCAAGGCACATATAAAACACAAGTAATTCAATTTTAAATAATTTATTTACCATTTGAATGGTATTGCATGATAATATTGAATAAAGGGAAGATAATTATTCAATAGTAATTACATCTGTCTCTAAGTATTATTGCTTTTACTCACATTAAATATTATTGCTTTTTTTTTGACGTTACATCACAGCGCTTCATAAACTATAAAAAAAATATAATTAAATCCATAAATAGAACTTGGCTAATTATAGTTATATCATTACAGTGACAATGTTGATATCATTGTGTTTTCTGGCCTTTATTCGATTAGAAGAAGTAGAAATGTCCCAGATAGCGTTATGATTCGAGGTTTGTTATTGTTGTGTCCAATGTACATAAGATGACGAAGTAAGACGACAATTTGTCACCCACTGCTATTCATTGTTAGGCTGTTACAACAGGTGACTAAGAAATGCGAAATATACCACTACAAAACAATACTCAGAATAAAAACATATACTAAGCTGATTGATCGTCATGGTAATAGTAGGCTGATATCTCCTTGTAATGAAGAGAAGCTTGTGTCCTTACCAGAAATAGGATAATAATGATTTATATATGTTATAATATACTAACTATAACATAAAAATCAGAGGGAGACTTTGTACAAAAGTCGTTTGCTTGGGTACCTTTGTTCCATTCGTGTTTCAACCGTAAAGCAGTTATGTTTGCTTGGCTTCGGTTTGAAGGGTGGGATATGGTGTGAATTTACAGGGTACAGAGGAATAACACCTGAGTCCTCAGGAATGGAAACGCATGAGGGGTATCATGGGCGAAACAGTATAGTCTGTTATGTCCATGATACTGCTCATGTCTATAGGCGACGGTTACCATTTTTCATCACGTGGGCCGTCAGCTTATTTGCCATTCTAAGTTGTATAAAAAATATTATTTTCGGTATATGTATCTTCAGTAAACTTAAGATATATAAAATAAATGTTTAATTATTGAACCAATCAACTTTAAAGATCAACAATAATGTAATTAATAAACAATACTACATAATACTTTATGATGCTCTTCATACTATGATACTTTTCATGCATTTCCATTCTTGAAGAAAAGGTATCATGTCTTTCTGTCTGTACCCAATTATTTTACAGCCATGTGTGTATTATATGTATTATGTACATTGTATATACTTATCAGCAATGGTTATTACTTTCTATAAGATGGGCCGACGACTTATTTATCGATTCGTATAAAAAATATGTATGTATGATAGTTACTATTTTAATTTATAATTTATTACACAGTGGTTTGACAAACATTAATAGTTGCGAACGCCTACGTCGTAAATACAACTTCCCGATTGCTTTATGAGATCTGACCTTCGTATTTAATGCATGCATGTACAATCTATAAGGCAAATTTTTCATGTTGTCCAACCTGTTATTTGACCTGTTATATACAATAACATGATTATCCGGTGTTGGAAAACATGTTGATCTCTTGGCTGCTAGTTACAGATATATTTACTACTGGTCAACTAATAACGTCTAGATAGAACGTCTCCATACAATTTGTTCGACAAAAACAGCCTATCTTTTTTGAAGTGGTCGGCTTAAAAATGTATTAATCTTACAATTTATGTCTTTTATTGTACAAATCGTCGTTTTATTCATTTATATTAACTTAACTACTGTATTGATCATGTCCACAATGCGACCTTTTTTTAAATATTTCTTTTTCTATAATTTAAATTTCATTGTTTCTAATATCTGTCAATTCTTTCTGTTTTTTATGTGTTACTCACTATCTCTGTATCTTTCTTTCTAAATACATACTTTCAGTCTATTGCTTGGTTTCTATATTTCATCCTCAACTTTTACAAATTATGCAGACTTTTGTACACTTTGACCAGAGATTGAACATTTTAATTTAATAATTTGTAGTATGATTAAACGTATCATCAAACAATTACCTGAAAATGTTTTGGGGCGTTTTTCTAGATGTAGATAGCACAGTGCTACCTAATAGATACACAATTTTATTATACCTATTCGTATTTGAAGGGAAATCGATAGTTAATTGTAGATACTTTTTTATTATTCATAAAATATAAAAACGCCTTTTTATACGAATTAGAACAACAAACAAGCTGACGGCAGCTATCCTAATGTAAATAGTTAAAGATGATCTTTATATATAAACAAGATAATATTGACATCACAAAACACACAGTCACACCCACGGTACCCCCCATGCTTATGATGAGGACTAAAATGAATTTTCATAGTAAGTAACTACAATAAATACCCCATTCCTCAAAAACATACAACTATAAGGCAAGCATGAATCTCTGGCGGCATTCAATCAACATTGTATAAAGTCCCTCTGGTTAAACACTACGAGTATGATAGGGAATCATGAATTTCCATGAATGGCAACTCATGAAGGGTCTTGCTATACTCTGTACCCTGTAATTTCATAAAGTTAATTTAATTTTCATTTATTTATATTAATACAGTGCATCTATGGTTTAATTCTTTTACTTTTTTACTTCATATATTTTTACTGTACATTTCAATAGATCTAAAATATGTAGAAATAAAATGTTTATGATCAAAATTTAAGGAGTTGAAATATAATAAATATATTGTTAAAGCTATATCCTATTTAATTTCTAAATACCACAATATGTTTCTTGGGTAAGTATCTATTATCTTAAAGATAAAATTATCCATACTATATCCCTTTCGTCCTTTTTGTGCCGATAATTATTATTTTCTGATTATATTTTAACAAAAAATCAGATCGTTGAACTCTTTTGTACGACAGTTTGGGAAAAATCCTGTTATGTACTTTAATATGATATTTAATATAATTATTATTCCTTTGTTTCTTGTGTTTCACATACCCTCATGAACTCTGCTATCAAAAACCACATTACTACTTACCGATTGAAAAAGCATTAGACGACTTCTAGCTTACCATAAATATGGTTATTAGGAAATATGGTTTTATTTCCTCTCACCTTCCATAAATGATCGTAAAATCCATCAGCGTTATCATTGTCGATCAAAGATACCAGTCGCCGTTCAGTGGCAAAATCTGTCCATTTCCCTCAGGGTTTATTATATCCGTATCCGTATCACGGCTGGTGCTGGTGGGGTCGGGCGTCGTTTCCCGCGGCAGTCGCAGGAGGGCGTTCGGATCGGTTGGACGCTGTGCCGCTCCGTCTGACCGCGCTGCACATGCGACCGCGTGACGAATACGATGACGAGCCTCCCGCGTCCGGTAATGCGTACCCGCTTTCTACGGTTGAACAGTACAGAAACTGCCGTCTGTCTCTGAGCCGTTATTGACATGTGTACGTCTGTTTACTCGTTAGCGTTTAAACTTTTTCACGGTTATCAATACCGACTGAATCGTATGCGCTTCAGCTGAAGGATTGCGAAACTGTACAAGTGAAGTTTAAAAATACATTGGCACTAGTGCGTGGTGACGCCCGTCCGAGATGTGTTCGTGCAGTAAATTCTACGATTTCTGTAGGAACTCTTGCGGAGCAGGTAAGATCTTCGTGGTATTATATATTTTAATTGTAAATGTGTAAGTCTTGTTAAAAAAGGTAATAAATAATAGAAACTACTACGTAACTCTGTCACTATAAATGTTTATGATTTCATTGGGAACCTCAGTGAAAAAAAAAATACATATTGAAGTGTTTACAATTTACATATTATTGCACGTGACCGTATCTACATGTATGTACCGACAACTCTTTAATTCATAATTAAAATTTCTACTCAACCAAATAATTGAAGAATCTTCTAAAGTATAAATAGGTTGATATTTAAATAAAATTGATGCTGTACAGCAAAACAAAAATAAACTAATAAAAGATTGAAAAATACTTTCTGACAACTCGATCCGATGGGATTCAAGCATTTAATAATTCATGATATCCAAATGTAGAGGTACGCATTTTAAATATTTTCAAATATAAAAATAAATATTAGCAATAGACACTATTTATAAACAAATTAACTTGATTGGCGGTTTAAACTTTATTGACGTATTATTTATATGAATATATATTAAAATATATAAATTATTATATTTAATGTTTTGCAATAATAAATAAATACTTTAAATATAATCATTTATATATTTTTATATTAAATATTAATTTGTCAGTTTGAACTTGTTGAAAAGCATAAACATATATAAAAGATAAGCTATTTCCAATTAGGTAGTATTTAAAAGCTAAAAAAATGCCTCCTCGTAAATCACCTATTTAACTCTTTATATCCAACCACAATTACCTATTAGTTGAAGAACTTCATTTATTGAGATATAATACATTGGTATCATACATTCACATGTAATACGGCTACCTAAATACGTATAGACACACTCACTGCGTATAAAATTAACTTCAATGATAATTATAACTTTAGCTAGGTAGCTAGCTAGATATTAAGTAGGTCTTAATAAATAAAAATATACCTACACTATCAACTCTTAACTTGGTATTTCTATTTAATCAACTGGACGAAAAACTGCATCTATTGAGGTGTATTTATTGGTTGATATTTAAATAGTAGTAGGTAGCAAAATGCCGTATAAAATAAATGTAGGCACACATTACTTGTAGAATAATGTTCTTTGATAATTTTAGTTAGAAAGGGAGAATACTTAAAGATGCAAGAGCTTTAAATATTAGATATAAGTACTACTTATGTACTAATTTACTAATGATCACTGGATTATGTACTAAACTCACTGCAACATAAACATTATCTCTACTTGTAAGTACGAGTGGATACTTTAACAAATCAAAATTATCGTTGACAATAACGGAATTATTATACAAATAACACAAGGTTTACTAGTACGCAAATTGCAACTGAAAGGTCTTTTTGACGCCTCAATACATACATGCAAAAAATATGAACATATGCCTATTTATGAATACCTACGCGCCAATTAAAACTTTAGAAATAGTAAATATATAAAACCGGTAATAACATATGTATAAAACTGGTAAAAATAGGATAAGTTGTCTAGGCAAAAATATAAAAAAGAAAATTGAAAAAAGTAGTTTAGAAATTCGGAAAACACACTGAGAACGCTATTGGCACGAATAGTTGAAACATATGGTTTTAAAAACTTTGTGATCGATTTGCCGAAAAGTAAATTTTCTCAACAATTAATAACTAAGATTTTTAAATAAGAAATATCTTTAAGAAAATATTTTTCAAAGCATAGTACAAGTTTTAGAAATTCTTTCTCTATAGGGTTGATTTTATGTCTTGTTGGACTACTATCTTTTATACAACTTATAAAAATATAAAGAAAGATTTTTTTAAATACCTATTAGAAAAAATTGTTTCTAGTTAAAAGTAATAGGTTTTCATATTTACAATTAAATTCATATTTATAGGTTATATTATTAGCTTTATATATTATATTACTACTATTTCAGTGAACTGAATCACCACTTATTTAATGTGTGTTCTTTCATTTCCGTTCCAAATTGTATGATAAACAATCTCATCACAGTCCTTGACTACGCAAACGAAGCCGGGGCAAGTTGCTAATAATATATATATTTAATTTTGATTTTTTTTAACCGCTTAGGTCTAGTATCAGAAAGAGAACGTATCACCGTCACGCTAAAATTCATGGCCACTATTCAAAAAGATTATTTATATACTTGACTGCAATATAGTCGTCAACATAATATTAACAAAAATAAAACCTTTAATGATGTTGATGATGATAAACAAATCATGTTATGTTGGTGCAATAAAGTGTTAAAAATAAAATAAATAAATATAACAAACATTAAAAAAAAATGATACTCCTGATGCATAAGCTTATTTAAGGGAGATTTTTGTACCCACCCTATAATTACCTGATGCTCATCCTAGCTCTCTAAAGATATGTCTGAAAGTACATATGTATGCGTTTTTATAAAGGGCCAAGACCCCTTGGAAAGGGTTTGTTAATAATGAGTTCAAACAGCCCCAGTGCTAGCAATATACCCTGTCAGGTCGATCTCCACACACAGTTTTCCTTGGAAATCATTATGGTTAGTTCTTGTCGAATTCTTGACAATGGGCCGATTGACCAATAGTGAAGGCGGTTACCATTCCATACATTAAAAAAAAGACCCACTGGAAAATAATTTTAAATACGCCAATAAATATATAAATATATTTCTTTTATTCAAGTTTTAAAATGAAAAATGGGAATGGCATGCATATGAAACAAAGACTGTCATAAACTTCATATTGATAAAAACTACAATCAATCGCAGTATTTTTAAACAGACCCTACAAGAAGCATCCATTCACTAGTATGACCGATATGACAACCATCGTTGTGTTCAACCGTATTATAGAGAGCCCAACGACCCGGTTTTCCACGCAGCCACCAGTTTGAGCATTATAGTGAATATGACTTGCTTTAAAATATCCGACTACGACAAAACATCGATATGAAATTAAATGTGGCAATAAGTCGTACTTCAATGATTATTCATTGCAAAATAAAAAATCATAAATAATTCAAAACAATTTATGTCAATTTAAAAGAATTACTAATTATTAAAATAACAGAAATGTCATTGTTTTCATAATAAATAATGATAGCAAGTAATCTGCACTCATAGAAATTCAGTCTAATTAGTATTTTATTTTACCAAGTATTTTTGTTATTAATATATTCTTCTATCCTGTGGTAGGCTTTCCCAAAGATTCTTTATGACAGCTTTTAAATTTCTTTCTGGTAAGTCCACGATAAATTTTGGCAATTTGTTATAACACCTTATACACAATTTCTTAAAACTGAATTACCGAATTTTTTCAATGGACGTAGTGGTGACAGATAATTCTCCTTATTGCGTAAGTGTTTATTGTTATTGATACTTTAGTAAAGAATTTTAATTTAATGCTCTGATAATAGTCTTTCTTATGCATATTATATATGTAGCTGACATGTGCTACATAATGTGTTGGTATTACTATCAAGACGTAATGCAATACGTATTTACTACATTTTAATTCCTATTTGTTATATTTGTCCTATTACCGTGTCGGTCCCGATATAAAATGGGCCACCCCTTCCTTTTTCGTGGGTATCGTAAGAGGCAACTAAGGGAGCTTGTGGTGGGGGGATAGGCAGTAGCGTCCCTCTTAAAACATCTATAAAAGCCTAACTGTGGTTGCCAACCCGCCTACCAAGCGTGGCAACTACTGGCAAAACTGGTGTCCTCTTATAGGGAAGGCTTATGTTCAGCAGTGAATAGTTAAGGGCTGAAATAATAATAAAAAAATCTATTTTGATACTTTAAAATGCAACCTCAGTAAGGTTACGAAGTAACAGAAAAACGTTATTCTTATATCGTCCGTTCTGGCTCGCTACCCTACGCATTCCATTTTTCGCTCTGGTGACCCCAAGTTCGTTTACCATAGTTACATTGTCTTTACGCTAGACTGTAGTTTGGTTATGCTATATGCTTTGCAATTCAATTAAAACCTCAGTTATCACGACCCAATTAACCTTCCTTCCTGAGATTCTAATTGTCTGAGATCATAATCTAGACAGGTTTAATCGAACTAATTGAGAACAATCTTTGGAAGTATAAACTAAAGGTCACATGTACGCCCACTAAAATATAATATTTTTTTTTTATCAACGTTATTTAAATTATTTATATTTTAATCTCTTTATATGCCCAATTCCAATTAACGTTAACAAATAAAAACCTTTATTATTTTCGTTCCCTTTAATCATTATTTATTATTTCAAATAGTACTTTTAAGGTTCTAATATTCACAAATATTTCTAAAGAACTCTAAAAATGAAATAAAGTGTCTACTAAAACAGGTCTATCCTTAGAAAGAAGTTATTTGTCTTTCAAGATATTGCAAGTAATTTGCATATTGTAAGCGAAAGGAAAATACTTTAACGAAGGCTTTTCCTTTGTCAGAATGTCGGTCAGTCACGTAACATGTATGTTAATTATTTTCCGAAGCTAATCTTCGTGTAAGTTTGCGGCAAGCCAGCAACTTGCAAGGGTTCACATTGTTTACCAGCTCCACTGGTGGTGTGCGGTAATATAACAGTGGTAATACATGGTAATTTGCACGTTTTAAGCGTACAACACCATCAGTCGCGTCGCCTCGCAGAACGTGCTTTGCATCAGCTTGTTTTGATTATTTCTTGAGAAATACGTCTTTCGTTATTTTAGCAATTCACTAATATAATCGAACTGCTTCTACTTTATTATTTGGTCTTCTTTGTATATCAGACCTATTTGTATTCTTAATTTAAAACCTGAGCGTATCAATACGCGTCAGTTAAATACTGCATAACAATTATAGGCATACATATGCAGCCTTGATATTGCTAATCGTCGTGTCTATATATGTAGGTGGATACACTTAATTTTAAATGCTTAGAGACTACCATTTAAATTTAACTCAGACTATTACGAATATTTTATTAAAAAAAATAGCTAAATCGATCCAGTAGTTCTCAATTAAAACGCTTACTAACA